AAAACGTATTTTCGTTTTGTTTTAAAGAAACTACAAATTTTTCAAATATTCCATGTAAATTTTTGACCTGGGTCACTTGACGTGGAACCCGTCATATATATATATTGAATTTTATCTATAGTTTTTCTTGCGATGAAGGAAGAAAGAGAATATTATTACCTGGGTTCTCGGAGTTAATCCTCATTTACAAAGGCTTCAAGGGTTCGTATTGTTTCTGGTAATCCTTCGTAACATAGGAGAACAGAATTATGCTAAATTAAATGTAAAACTAAAACTTTTAGTTGATTATGTACTTGATGCCCTAAAGGATTCTTCTTTTGATGGTTCTAAGTGCTTATATGTTGATGGTTTTGAAGGATCTGGAAAAACATTTTTATACATTACGCTATGGCAATTGTTAAGAAGTAAAGGAATAAATGTTTGCAACATGGCATTTACAGGTATAGCTGCGACTCTGCTTCCCAATGGAAAAACTGTTCATAAAGGTTTAGGCTTATCCGTTCCATTATACAGTGATTCATCTTCAAACATTAAAATTTAATCTAAAGAAGGCCTCTTTTTAAAAAATATAGATGTTTTTATTTGGGATGAAGCACCAATGGCTCCAAAATATGCTTTAGATATTATGGATTATCTATTAAGAGATATAATGAATTCCAACGAACCTTTAGGTTCGTTGGTTGATTTTCGACAAACTTTACCCATTAAAGAACGGGGTACTAGATCATAAATAGTAAATTTATCAATAAAAATAGTAAACTATGGAAATATTTCAAAAAATGCACATTAACAGATACTATGAGAGCTTTACCACAAGAAACAGAATTTGTAGATTTTTTATTTAAAGTTGGCAATGCTGAATCAAATGATGCAGATGATAATGTTATATTACCAGAACATATTATTCAAAAAGGGAATAGGTATACAAAAACAAAATTTTATCCTTTATAGACAATTTAGGTATACAAAATTTAAAACAAAATTTAATTCTTTAAAGAAAAATCCTTTAACGAAAATTAAATAAAAAAATCTTAATAATTCACTGGTGAATTCACTCACTATATGTGAGTGAATATAAAGTTAAGTAAGTGAATTATTAGTGAATACTTTGTGAATTAGTAAATAGTGATTTTGTGAATAGTTAGTATTAGTGAATATAATTAGTGATAACAAGTGAATAGTAAATAATAATAGAATTACAATTAAGATACTGTTTCTAAATTTTTTTCAATTATTAAATAATTAATTGCATTGTGTTTAGTTTTTGATGTTACATAATAAAGTTAAAAAATTTGTTATAATTGTTTTTATGTTTATTAATAAATTAAAAAATTTGTTGTAATTTGGAATCGTCTGTAATTGGATTAAAAGGCAAAATTATAAATTGGTTATATTGGATAAAAGGCAAAATTGGAAATTGGTTAAATTGGATAAAAGGCAAAATTGGAAATTGTTTAAATTGGATAAAAGGCAAAATTGGAAATTGTTTATATTTGATAAAAACAAAGCTGGAAATTGGTTAAATTGGATAAAAGGCAAAATTGGAAATTAGTTATATTGAATAAAAAGAAAGCTGGAAATTTGTTAAATTGGATAAAAGGAAAAATTGTAAATTAGTTATATATTGGATAAGAGACAAAATTGGAAAATAGTTAAATTGGATGAAAGACAAAATTGGACATTGTTTATATTGGATAGATGGAAAAATTTGAAAGTTTTGAATAAGAATAGAATTGTAAATTTGTTGTTATTTTCTATAAGAGGCAAAATTTGGAAACATTGAATAAAAAGGAAATTATCAAATTTATAACTAAATGTATAAAACTTGATGTTAAAATTTATAAAATAAAAGAACAATGTCTAACAAAGGAGAAACTGTTAATTTGACTACTCATGATTTAAGTATTGTTGTCACTGAAGGAGCAATGCTAAATAATGATCATATGTATGAATTTCTAAAGCTATTGTTGCTCTTCATGGTAGACCAGATTTATTTATTACAATGACGAGTAATCCAAATTGGAAAGAAATACAGGATAATTTATTCTCCTATCACACTGCTGCTGATAGACCTGATATAGTAACTAGAGTTTTCGCATTATAGTAAAACATCTACTTAAACTTATTGTTGACAATAAATTATTTGGAGAGGTCAAATCTTATGTTTATGTTATTGAATTTCAAAAGCGAGGATTGACACATATTCATTTGTTAGTTATATTGAAAGAAAATTCTAAAATATTAACAGTTGAAAGTATTAATTGTTATATTTCTGCAGAAATTTCTGATGAAAATATAAATCCTATTTTACATAAAATAATAATGCAAAATAATATTCACGGACCTTGTGGAGATTGGTGTTTAATTGATGGGAAATATTCAAACAAATTTCCAAAAAGTTACCAAGAAGAAACTACAATTGAAGAAAATTGCTTTGTTCATTGTCGTCAAAGAAATAATAATAAAGCGTATGAACGACCAAATGGATTTATTGTTGATAATTCTAATGTTGTTCCGTATTTCCCTAAACTTTTAGAAATATTTAATTGCCATATTAATGTAGAAATAGTTTCGAGTATCAAGTCTGTTAAATATTTATATAAATATAATTTCAAATGGCATGATACTACATCTATTGTTATCACGAATGCGAATGGTGTGGTAACTGTTAATCATAATGAAATACATCATTATGAAGAAAATAGATATGTTGGTCCAGTTGAGGCAGTTTAGAGAATTCTAAGTAAACCTTTTGAGAAAAAAAGTCATAGCGTTAATCGCTTACCCATACATTTTCCAAATGAACAGAATGTTATTATTCGAGAAGAAAAAGATAGTAACGGCATTTCTTTCGATTTAAATAAAAATACAAAACTTCTGGATTATTTTAAACTTAACCAACGAGATAGTAATGCTCAAAAGTATTATTATTCAGAAATACCAGAGCATTATACATGGGTAACAAAATCTCTTGAATGGAAACAAAGAATTTGTAAAGAAAAAGTATTGGGAAGAATGTATTCAGTTAATCCACATCAATTGGAGTTATTTCACCTTAGATTATTGTTGCTTACAGTAAAAGGAGCAACTTCTTTTGAAAGTTTGAGAACTGTTAATGGAGTTGTTTATGAATCTTTTACAACTGTTTGTTTGGCATTAGGGCTTGTAGAAAATGATAGTGAGTGGATTAGGACAATGGAAGCAGCTGCATAATGAATGATGCCTCATTCACTTCGCCAATTATTCACAAGAATTTTAATTTATTGTCATCCTGTACATCCGGATAAACTATGGGAACAATTTAAGGGTCAAATGTCAAAAGATTATTAAAAAATTAACGACATTGAAGCTGAACAAAGGGCTTATAGAAATATTAAAACAATGTTATTTAACGAAGGATATAATTTAACTGACTTTCAGGGGTTATTAGATATACAAGATGAAATTTTTACTGAACAAGTTAATGATATAAATATTGCAGAACATATTAACATAGGAGAACAGAATTATGCTAAATTAAATGTAAAACAAAAACTTTTAGTTGATTATGTACTTGATGCCCTAAAGGATTCTTCTTTTGATGGTTCTAAGTGCTTATATGTTGATGGTTTTGGAGGATCTGGAAAAACATTTTTATACATTACGCTATGGCAATTGTTAAGATGTAAAGGAATAAATGTTTGCAACATGGCATTTACAGGTATAGCTGCGACTCTGCTTCCTAATGGAAAAACTGTTCATAAAGGTTGAGGCTTACCCGTTCCATTATACAGTGATTCATCTTCAAACATTAAAATTCAATCTAAAGAAGGCCTCTTTTTAAAAAATATAGATGTTTTTATTTGGGATGAAGCACCAATGGCTCCAAAATATGCTTTAGATATTATGGATTATCTATTAAGAGATATAATGAATTCCAACAAACCTTTTTGTTCGTTGGTTGATTTTCGACAAACTTTACTAATTAAAGAACGGGGTACTAGATCAGAAATAGTAAAATTATCAATAAAAAATAGTAAACTATGGAAATATTTAAAAAAATGCACATTAACAGATACTATGAGAGCTTTACCACAAGAAACAGAATTTGTAGATTATTCACTTAAAGTTGGCAATGGTGAATTAAATGATGCAGATGATAATGTTATATTACCAGAAAATATTATTCAAAAAGGGAATAGGTACACAAAATTTAAAATAAAATTTAATCCTTTAAAGATAAAATGTTTTTAATAACTATGTGTGTATCTTTAGAGTAATATTAGAAACTTTTCGGTGTAAAAACATTTCCATTTTTAATAGCAGCAAGAAAGGGGGCGTGCGTAGCGCGCAAAATTAGTGACTAGTATACTTCTATAATTGAAACACAAAAGGTAACGTCTGAGTAACGGCACCAGTAACGCCGGCTCTGGTTTCTCTCTTTCTCTAAAGGCAATATAAATAAGAATGTCTCTTTTTACCTAATTTGCATATCTACTCGTTTCATATTAAGGATAGAGCTAAATTAATTATGGCCTTTTAAAACTAGATAATATACCTTTGATTTAATCGTTTGACCAAACAAATTATTATTATATTATAATTATTATATTATATTACTTTTAAATTTAAATTTCTCACGCCCAGTATTCTTTGATGAATTAGTGGAATTCCACTGATGAATTAAAAAAAACTGGCCACTGAATTGAAATCAGTTAAATTTTCACTGATGCTGATTTAGAGTTTTATTAACATTACATAAAAAATTGTATTTAGAAAACAAAAATAATCATGTACAAGATTCTTCAAAAAGTGTTATTTTCAGTTTGTTCCTATAAGAACATAAGAATCAGATTATTTTATAGAGGAAACTCCTTAGGATGCTATGTTTTTCCTGGATAAGATTTAAATTAAAATATTAATTTCTGTTTGAAGAAATTTTAATTTACTAAAAAAATTTCTGAACTATACAATGTTTTTCATTAAAAATTAATTTAGACTAAGAATTGGACTTTTAATGATTCGATTACAAGTCATTTTGATATATATTCTATAATCAATACTAATTTGAATACATGAAAAATCTGTTAAAAGACAATTCTACTACATAAAATTAAAATTATCACGGTTCGTCATGCCAACCGTGTATGCCGAACGTTTATGGAAAAAAAAATTCTCTCGATTTTTTGAATTTTCAATCTTGCTTGCTCTTCTATCTGTGCGCTACACTGTGTTTACACAAATATCTATTTGTGACTTTTTCTGACAAAAGATATTTTATTCATTCATGGATAAAATTATGATTTTCGCATACTTGTCTGGATTAAGGGATGAATATCAATGTCCTTCAGTATGAATTTTAAAAATCTAACATCAGATTCGCATTCCGCGACACTAAAAACACTCGAGTAATGGGGACTACAAATATTTTACAATTGTTTATTTGTGTAATGAGGAAACAAGAAACCTTAAAGTTAATATGCATCCTAATACTCCAATGACACTTATATAAATTTTAAATATAATCTTAAAAGAGAACAATAGTGCTATAGTTTTAGATAGTTAACCCTTATCATTCAATTGCACTCTATATATACAAATATTATAATAACTAGCATGTACAAAATATTTATTTAACATAATTTTTTAGAAATTAAACATATCTTGTTAATTGCATATGAAAGTCTTGCAAACACACTATCAGTTGATTAAAAGTTGGTCTTTCGTCTGATGACATAGCCCAGCAGTAAGCCATTACTGCAAATAATTCGTCAGGGCAGTTAATTGGTTGAGCTAACCTATAACCGTCTCGAAGATAGGATGACATTTCGAACGGATCAACTTCTACGTACGGCTGTTGGGCTAAAGTTGTTAGCTCCCACAAAAGTACACCAAATGACCACTGTAAAACATAATTGAATTTGAAAAACAACATAATTAACTAATTATAATAAATTGAATATAAGGATTATTTTGTGATTTTTGTTTTTTGACCGTATTAATTAATTTGTAGAATAATGAGAAAGCCTAGACACGGTTTGTTTTTAAAAAAATGTATTTAAAATCCCTAAAATAAAAGAGCATAAACATTATTTCACTTACAACCAAAATAAAAGCAAAATATTAATGCTTTAACTAATCACACTTTTGATAACAACCCAGACAGCACAAAAGACAGAACAAGATTGGAACAACAGATACAAAAAAATTGTGACATTAGAGTTATATAACTCTTACATCACATTGTGATAGAACTGTGACATAAGCATAATACATAACTATTCTATAACTAACTTGTAACTATGTTCTAGAACTCTGTTACAATCAGGTTATGTAACAGATGTGTAACTAGTTAGAAACAGATGTTCTATAACACTGCACAGTGGTTCAGAATTACAATTTAGTGTTCATAATCACCTACAGCCTATAATTTTCTATGAAATTTAACTTTCTTTTTTTCTAAATCTTCAGCGATAAATTCCCCAGATCGCCATTGAGCCGGAATTTGAAATTTCATTTTGTAATATAGTTTATTTAAACAATTAAGTGAAAAATTTAACCTACAAATTCAATATTTGTTTAACATTTTTGAAAAAAATTATTAAATCAACTATTTAAGTATCTTAACAATAACATATATATCCAAAGACACAAAACTCATAATTAAAAATATTATTCCAATTGTTCTTAACAATAGTTTTAAACAAATACCTATAAATAATAAAAAAAGAAAATATTGCTTTTTTTGCTGCAATAATTTAAATAATGGTTTAAACAAAAGGTAGGATAGAAGAATAATTGTTGATAATAATTATTATTATAAATAATTAAAATTAATTAATTGATTGAGAGTTTTTTTTTTGAAGTACATTAAAAAATGTTATAAAAATACATTGTTCTAGGAAATAGGATTCCCTTATCTTTAGATAAATAAACATTTTGTTTAGTTGTTTAAACAAATTATTGTTATTTATTTACTTCTAACTAGTTATATATGCATTGATCGTAATTTCTTCTTTATATCTAAGGTATCATACTTCTGCTTTTTAGTAGAGGAACCTTTGCTTTGTAATCCTCAAAATTTTTAATAATTATTTAAACAAATTATCCATAGAAAAACATTTTAAAATAAATAAATAAAGAACAATAATTTGTTTAAACAACTATTTAACTAAATGTTTATTTATCTAAAGATAAGTGAATACTATTTCCTATCTCAGTATATTTTTGTAACATTTTTTAATGTACATAAAAAAAGCTCTTAATTAATTAATTAATTTTATTTAAATTTATAATAATATTTATTATTAACAATTATTCTTCTATCCTACCTTTTGTTGAAACCATTATTTAAATTATTGCAGCAAAAAAAGCAATATTTTCTTTTTTTTATTTATTTATAGGTATTTGTTTAAAACTATTGTTAAGAACAATTGGAATAATATTTTTAATTATGAGTTTTGTGTCTTTGGACATATATGTTCTTGTTAAGATAGGTACATAAATAGTTGATTTAATATTTTTTTCAAATATTTTCAACAAATATTGAAATCGTAGGTTAAATTTTTCTCTTAATTGTTTAAATAAACTATATTAAAAAATGAAATTCCAAATTCCGGCTCAATAGCGATCTGGGGAATTTATCGCTAAAGATTTAGAAAAAAAAAGAAAGTCAAATTTCATTGAAAATTGTAGGCTGTAGGTAACTAAAATAAAAATGTTTCATATCGACGGTTTAGAGTGCAAACCTGCTAACTCCACTTTTTATCAAATTTGAGATTCTTTTTGTATTTGATAGATAAAGAGGTGATACATCAGCTAAGTAAAACAGTTTGACGAAATTATGTCTCTAAATTGCTAAAAAAGTGTTGTGAGTAAAACAGCTAACTCCATACCTGTCAAATTGCACTGCTATAACTCCACATAATATATTGTATTGTATTGAAATGTGTCTATATTTTGAGTGTAAGAGATATCAATTAAAATATATTTCAAAAGGAAGTACTTTTTATTATTAAGTAGCATTGTGTTGTTCTGTTAATAAAACAAATATACTGAAAGTTTTGTTCTATAAGAATATAACCTAAAAATTCTTTTGAATAGTTTTTTGACTCTCCTGAAAAATTTCATAAATGTGAGTTAGCAGGTTTGCACTCTAAACCGTCGATATTTGTTATGGAATTTAATTAACAAGAATTTTTTTAGTTTTACTAAGCTCCTGGAGAATAATCCCGTGTAGAAAATTTAACAGGGGCCTGGCCTGGTCCAGACCGGGGTGAAACAGGGCCATGGCGCAAAGCCTGATTTGACGAGGTACCAGGCCGGGGCCCGGTCGGGTACCCGGTTTCATACGAGGTCAGGGCCCTGTTGGGGCAATTTCTGCACGGGATCTAAAAACTTCCCAAAAACAACCAATATTGGTTACCTCCACGTGGTGCTTCTCGGAAAAAAGCAAATAAATGGTTTTTTATAAGCTCCAAATGCGAAATTCCAAGACTTCAAAACGGGCCCGTCAATGTCTGCAGGAAACTGACAAAAATTACTAAGCCAATACTGGCATTCAAAACGTCTCATTGCTGGTAAAGCACAGTGGGGCAAAAAACACGCTATTGGACAAATTAATTTTTAGACCATAATTTTTAACCGATTGACAATTTTTTTTTAAATTAAAGCTAATAAAATTTGTCATAAAATGTACGTTTTTTATTAAAAAAAATTCCCGTTAATTGTTTATTAAATGTTAATAAAAAAAAATGAGAAATTTTTTTACTTTAAACAAATATTGTTGCTTACAAAAGCCTATTATATTATTAATAATTACCAAAACATTATAGCCATGTTCTAAAAATATCTTGAGACATTAACTATTTTGTTTAAACAATTTTTGCCTTTGTTCCAAAGAAATAAATTAACAAAAGCTTTTTTTTAATATTATGTAAATTTAGCGACTGAATTTTTCATAATTTACTATACTTATGATATGCAAGTAAGTACCAGTGAAATTTATTGTCATAAACAATTACTATTTGTTATGTTATAGGCAATTTATTTATTAACAATTTTTATTTTCTAACACAAAATTAATTATATTTTGGGGGAGAATAGTCCTAAGTTGGCCGTGGGCCTAAGTTGGCCACCCTGCGTTTCTCGCAGAGATGGTATACTGGACGAATCTATAATTTCGTGGTGTGATATATTGATAAACCATGATATAATTTATGGACCTAATTATAATCAAAGATTCTTCTACGCATTGTGAGGACAATAATATTGTTTACGACAAAAAAAAATTTAATTTTTCTTGTTTTTTCGAGAGCAGCTACAAGAGATAAATAATTTAAAATTTGTAAATGAGTGTGTGCGCTAGTTTCTTTATTTAATGTTGTAATAAGAGGTTCTGTTGATTTTTTAATAAAATTTTTTTTATTACAGTAATAATTTGAAACTTGTAAAACTCTACAGTGGTCCTAAGTTGGCCACCTATTGTTTTTGTTTGTTTTTATTTATGTTTTGGTTCTTTTTTGTGTTTTTCATCACGAGAAAGACCGTGAAAGTGTAACGTAGCAATTAATCAAAAAACAATAGAAAAGACATACTACAAAAACGCCAGTCTCCGCAGCCATCCACCACTGCAAATAAATAAAATAAAGCATTGTTTTATTTCCCGTGCAGAAATTGACATACTTAACGCCTAAACCTGATTAGGGCCAGACGTGGCAACTCTGATCAGGCCCACATCAGGAAAATCTTAGGGCTCAGATCAGAACCACGTAGGATTTAAATTTTGAAATTATATCTTTCGAAAATAAAAATGCATGAAACAAATATTTCTTAGAATTTATCTTACATAGATCGACAACGACCATTTTTAATAAAAAAACCTCATTCTTGATTTTCAAAATTATGTTTCACTATTTTTAAAACATTGCGCTCTACATTAATAACAACAACAAGAATAATATTGATAAACTAATAATAATAACAATAAATAAAGAGTTTAAATTAGGGGAGACTGGGGCTAAATGTTAAATTTTGCAAAAACATTTTTTCTAGGTGTTTAAGTTTGAATTGATTTTCTCTTGTGTGTCGCTCTGTATGCATGTATGAGTAGCCGTGAACGCTATCTCTGTCTTCGATACTGTCTTCCTTTTCTCTTTTAAGTGGACTGAGTAGCTTAGGGAGGGACTGGAAATTCAGTGTCGAAATGTACGAGACAGGCGATAGTCGTTATATGTCTCGTGTGTGTATTTTATATTGTATGTTATCTAATTTTTAATCATTATTTTTCTTATATATATATTTATTCTGAGAAATTTCAAGTTAATAAACGCGTTATATTTGTAAACTTATTTAGTGACTCTGAAGACTTATTTATAACAATGTTTTAATGCCTAAACAAAATTTCTATCCTTTAACCTAAAAATGTTCTATACATTAATGGTCCTTCGAGCCGGATACCGGTTATTATAAACTTTTATAAATAGTGGACACTGTTCTGGTGCATCTATAAAGTGCAGTGGTGCATCCCTTTTTCAAGATTTTATACGGTAACTTCCGATGAACATTTAAACAATTTCAGTTATCATAAATCGTCCTTTTATGTCATGACTATATGTAAAGACGTGTGAGTGTACAGTGGTGAAGTATTTCAATTCACTCAAAGTAATGTCCGTTCTTCGTTCTCAAGACACACACACTTTGATAACCACGACAGCAAGTATAACACCTGATCGCTCAGCATATGAGACTTGTTTACACACATTTCGACACTATAATTTCAAGCACTGAGAATCTATTTATTTCTGCTAAGACATTCTTTCAATTTTAATACTATTTATCATTGATTTTAATAAATTTTATACTTATTTTAATAAATTTAAGAAATTATGGATCCAACGGATATTTTCAATTCTCAGACTGAACTTTTCAGACTCATTTTTAATTTCACTACGAATTTAAAAAAATTAGGTAAAGATAAAATTACTTCTAATGTGGTAAAAGCGCGATTAGTAAATTTAGAAACTTATTGGTCTAAGTTTTGTGCGAATCATGACCAATTAATAACAGTGAAGAAGGAACAACAAAACCAACCATATTTTAAGGATAATGTTTATGAATCCGTGGAGGATAAGTATATTGAAACCAAAGCTTATCTTCTAGATTACTTGGACTATTTTGTTAAATTAAATATGGAGAAAAGTAACATTGCGGAAGAGTCGAGAGTTGAGGAAACTATATTGGCCAGGACTTTGGCTCCATTAGAAGTTCCGAAATTTTCGGGTGTCTTAAGTGAATGGCCGAGTTATCGTGATATGTTTAAATCCGTTGTGCATTCGAGTAATAAATATCCGCCTGTTCAAAAACTTCATTATTTAAAGGTTAGTTTGTCGGGAGAGCCGGCACAATTACTCGCAAATATTTCAATTACGGATGAGAATTTTGATCGCGCGTGGGAACTTTTAGTTTATCGATGCGACAACGAAAGACTTTTAGTTAATAATTATTTGAATAGATTGTTTAACGTAAAATCGGTTTCCCAAGAAAGTGCGGTGAGTCTGAGAATTTTATTAAATGACACTGTTGAAATTATTGGTGCGTTAAAAGTTTTAAAAAGACAAATAACATATTGGGACGATTTATTGGTTTTTATGACCGTTCAACGCTTGGATCCTACGACGAGAAAATCATGGGAAGATTATCTAGGTGCTTCGCTGACTTATCCTACCTTTAATCAGTTGCAAAAATTCCTTACTGCTAAGGTGATTACTCTGGAGACTTTGCATGTTACGGACGTTTCGATGTCAAAATCAAATTCCTTTAAAACGCAGTATGGAGATTCCAAGGCTCAGAAACGAACTTCCTTCGTAAAAGTTCACAATGCTTCCACTAAGGATAATCTCTGCGTTCTCTGTGAAGAGAAACACCCTATTCTGTTCTGTCCCATTTTCCGTGCCAAAGTACCTGAGGAACGTAAGGATATTGTAAAACAATTTGGTTTGTGTTTTAACTGTTTGGGTAAGCATCATATAAAGATTTGTAATTCGTCCAAACGATGTCAAAAATGTAATCGTCCGCATCATACGATGTTGCATTTCTTTTCCAATCCTTCTTCACAAAAACCGGATGAAAATAATTTGTCTTCCACTTCATCTTATCCAAGTGGCTCTAATTTAAATCCTTCCGCATCTGATTTTCCACCTTCTTCCACTTCTACTCATTGTAGCGCTAATATGGCGGGTGAATTTTCAGAAAATAGATGACTAAATGAACAGGTGCTTCTAGCAACAGCTATGGTTTATGTGGAATCAACTGATGGATCCAAACATCTCGCTAGAGCCTTACTTGATCAAGGAGCACAAATGTCATTCATATCGGAAGCCTTGTCTCGCCAACTACATTTCAAAAGAAGCCAAATTAACCTACAGGTTACCGGTATAGGAAGCTCAAAGCCTCTCATGGTCAAAGGATTGGTAACATTTAAGATTTTCTCATATCACAATCCTTATATCAGTTTTAATGTTCACGCGGTTGTATTAAATAAGCTTACTACATATGTACCTGTTACAGATTCATCGATAACAAAATGTTCTCACATAAAAGGTTTAAATTTAGCCGATCCGATGGTACACAAGCGATTATCGCTCGATATTATTTTGGGAGCAGAAATCTATTCTCAGATAATTGAATCGGGATTAATTAAGGGTCCTTTTGGTGCTCCTATCGCGCAAAAAACATCATTGGGTTGGATTCTTACGGGAACTATTTTGAAAGAATTATCTACGAACAGTGTTTCGTTAATAGGTTTACAATGCAAATTTGACGAAGATTTGTATGAACTTTGGCGCCGCTATGTACTGATTGAGGATATACCTCCTAAAATATGTAAATTTACTTTAGAGGACGATAAATGCGATGATTTCTTTTGTCGAACGTATCAACGAGAGTCGGAAGGTCGTTACATGGTTCGTCTTCCTTTTAAAGAACCCAATCCTGATTTGGGAGATTCTCGCACTATCGCGTATAAATTGTTTATGATTCTTGAAAAACGTTTCGAGAAAAATTTGTCTTTTAAAGAGAGTTATGTTAAATGTATCGAAGAATATATCAGCTTGGGCGAAATGAGCGAAATTACGGATTTGAATGAATTAAATTCAGAAAAAGGTTATTTTCTGCCACATCACGGTATTACCAGGGAAATAAGTACTAGCACGAAATTTCGGGTTGTTTTTAACGCTTCTCAGATAACTAATCTAGGCGTTTCTTTAAATGGTCTTCTTTGCTTGGGTCCTAAACTTCAAAACGATATTAGCAAGATTCTTCTTCGGTGGAGGATGTATCCGTTAGTGTTTATTGCCGATATTGAAAAAATGTTTCGTCGCGTGTGGATTCATCCAGAAGATCGAACTTACCAAAAAATCTTATGGAGAAAAAGTCCAGAAGACGAATTAAAAACTTATTCTCTCAACACAGTCACTTTTGGTTTCGCTTCTTCCCCGTATCTTGTTCTTCGAACGCTTCTTCAATTGAAAATTGATGAGGGTGATCGATTCCCCCTCACAGAGGATGTGATTGAGAAGGAAACTTATGTCGACGATGTGCTTTCGGGTGAATTTGAGGTTGAGACAGCCATCGATAAGGTTCATGAAGTGGATTCACTCTTCAGGGCGGGTGGCTTTGTTCTTAAAAAATGGATCTCAAATAATCCAGAGATTTTAAAATACATTCCAGAAGATTGTAAAGCTACCACCTCAGTTTGGGAGCCTGAATCCGAAATTTGCTATAGACCTCTTGGTATAATGTGGTCCCCGATGACGGACTGTTTTCAGATTCGAGTGCAATTTCCGCACGATTCGAAACTTCCTACCAAACGATCTGTACTTTCAGATGTGGCTCGAATTTTCGATCCTCTCGGTTGGTTGTCACCAGTAACCATAAAATCAAAGATTTTTCTACAAGAGTTGTGGAAACTCAAACTCGAATGGGATGACGAGTTGACTGATAGTTTGTTGAAGTTATGGTCTCTACATAGAGCAGAGCTTTCTACTTTATATGATATTAGAATCCCGCGATATTTGAAATATTCCAAAGACGTAATCGACTGTGAACTACATGGGTTTGGAGACGCTTCGGAAAAGGCTATAGGAGCGGTAATCTATTTACGCTTATTATTTCGGGATGATTCTATTTCTGTTTCTTTGCTCACTGCAAAAACTAAGGTCGCTAAATTAAAAGAAGTTTCCATTCCTAGGCTGGAACTTTGTGCTGCCGTATTACTTGTTCGGCTAATGTTGCATGTGACTTCAACCTTTGATTCTTTTTCCAAAGTGATACATCACTTTTGGACGGATTCCAAAAATACTCTTTTTTGGATCCAAAGTCATCCAAGCAGGTGGAATACCTTCATTTCTAACCGAGTTACTGAAATTCAAACCTCTTTTCCAACTGGTTATTGGCATCATGTATCAGGAATCGATAATCCGGCAGATTGCGCTTCTCGAGGAATAACTACGTCGTCCTTGAAAGATCATTAGCTTTGGTGGAGTGGTCCAGCTTGGTTGGCCCAGCCTTGTTCTTCGTGGTCTATTTCAGATGACCTTACTGTAGATGATCCTCATCTGGAAGAAAAATTTGTTAAAACGATCAATGCCGCAACGGAAAACTTACCTTGGGAATTTTTGAGTCGGTATTCCTCTCTGACTATGTTGATTCGAGTGACCGCGATTCTTCTTTTTTTCATCAAACGAGTGAAAGGAGTTTCAAAGGATCTATATCCTTTCTCTTCTGCATCAGCACTTCAAGAAGCTCGTGAACGTTTAATCGCGAATGTACAATCGCATCATTTTTCTCAGGAAATTGCCGATTTGCATGGGCGGAATAGGGTATCGTCATCGAGTTGCCTCGTGTCTTTGTCTCCTTTCTTAGATAACAACGGATTGTTAAGACTGGGAGGTAGATTGAAGCATGCTGATCTGGATTTTAATGAAAGGTGTCCTATTATTATGCCATTTGATTCACCTTTGACTTCTCTTATAGTCTTAAACGGACATCATTTTATGCTGCACGGAGGAACCCAATTAACTCTCTCTTATTTGCGAAGGACATATTGGATCCTTAAGGGACGAATGGCGGTAAAAAAGGTCCTTAGTCGTTGTGTCATTTGCGCTCGTTTTCGTGCAAAGACCTGTTCTCAATTGATGAGTCCCCTGCCTGCTCAACGTGTCACTCAACCTTCTCGCCCTTTCGCAGTATCTGGTGTGGATTATGCTGGTCCTGTGTGGATTCGAACTTCTAAAGGTCGTGGCATTAGGGCCTCTAAAGGATACCTTGTAATTTTCGTTTGCTTTGCCACAAAGTCCGTACATTTGGAAGTCTGTTCTGATTACACTTCAGAAGGTTTCATCGCTGCTTATAAGAGATTCTCATCCAGAAGAGGTGTTTGTAGTTTGCTTCATAGTGATTGCGGTACGAATTTCGTTGGGGCTGATCGAGAGCTTCGTGAGCTATTTAGGGAATCTTCTTCTGTGTCTTTCGAAATATCTCGATACTTGGCAAGCAATGGAACTACATGGCGATTTAACCCCCCAGCTGCACCTCACTTTGGAGGATTGTGGGAGGCTGCAGTTCGCTCGGTAAAACACCATCTTCGACGTGTTATAGGAGAAATGACTCTTACTTTCGAGGAATTGTCTACTTTTCTCTGCGAGGTTGAGGCCTGTCTCAACTCCCGTCCGCTTCAAGCCTTATCTGACGAACCTAATGATCTGACTCCTCTTACCCCAAGTCATTTTTTGATTGGTTCTACGATTTATACCATTCCTGAACCCTCATATTTTGAACACAAACTGAACTCTCTAAATCGTTGGAGGTTGCTTTCGAAAATGAAGTCCGATTTTTGGTCGAGATGGTCTTCCGAGTATCTTCACGCTCTTCAAACTCGTCCGAAATGGCACTTTGTTCGGTCCCCTGTTAAAATTAATGATTTGGTGGTGATTAAAAACGAGAATCTTCCCCCTTCTAAGTGGGCTTTAGGTAGGGTTACAAAAGTACACGCCGGTAGGGATGGTCTTGTTCGAACCGCTACGTTGAAAACCGCGTCAGGAATGTTGACCCGACCCGTCGTCAAATTATGTATTTTACCGATTTGTGATAATTTGTAAATCTTCGAATTATTCTACGATCATTCGTGTTATACACGAAGGCGGGTGGAATGTTTAAGTTTGAATTGATTTTCTCTTGTGTGTCGCTCTGTATGCATGTATGAGTAGCCGTGAACGCTATCTCTGTCTTCGATACTGTCTTCCTTTTCTCTTTTAAGTGGACTGAGTAGCTTAGGGGGGGACTGGAAATTCAGTGTCGAAATGTACGAGACAGGCGATAGTCGTTATATGTCTCGTATGTGTATTTTATATTGTATGTTATCTAATTTTTAATCATTATCTGAGAAAAAAAAATCATTTCTGAGAAATTTCAAGTTAATAAACGCGTTATATTTGTAAACTTATTTAGTGACTCTGAAGACTTATTTATAACAATGTTTTAATGCCTAAACAAAATTTCTATCCTTTAACCTAAAAATGTTCTATACACTAGGCAATAGTCCTTTTTTGAAAATTTTGTTTTTTTAACATTTAGCCCCATGATGTGGCTAAATGTTAAATTCTATTTCTAGCCTGCTAAAACTATACTTTCTAATAGGTGTTAAGTAGTAGGTAAGTTAAAGTATACCTAAAACAAGTAATTTATAATTTGTAAACATTAATTTATAAACATCTGTGTCCTAGAACAGTTATAGAGTTAATAAATTAAAATTTCAAAATAAAAAAAAAATTTTGGATTTATTTCACGTGAATGGTCTGCTTTTTTTACCAAGTAGTTGCCTAATGTCAAATAAATAATTTTTAAACATAAAAACACGAAAAATTTAAAAAAACATGGGGAAAATGCACCTAACATTTAGCCCCAGGGTGCGTTTTTAGCTTTAACAACAAATATACCAAATCAGACTAAAAATATTTAGCAAATTCCTTAAGGTACTTCTTCAGGGGAACAAAAAAAGGACCCAAATAAATTGTGATAAGGGCAGTTCCATACGAAAAGCAAATGGTGGATCACCGATTTTTCTTAAAGTTTGTAATTTAGTTATTTAGTACTTGGGGTACTAAATAACTGTGCCAAACAGTTTTGCAAAAAAAAATTTTTTTGCAAGATATTTAGATTTGAAAAATTGGAAACTGAAAAAAATGACTTTTTTTGAGAATTTTTATTTCAAAAACTATTGATTCTACAAGAATTTTGAGAAAATAAATTTTTATATAAGTGGTTAAAATAATATAATATAAGTGGTTAAATTTTTAAAGAAGTGATTTTTGATGTTTTTGAGAAAAAATTTTTTTAAGTTTGCGCTACGTGTTTTTGTGTGTTGCGCTAACTAAGCAGCGCCTATATCAGTGTATTTTAAAAGATATGACAAAATGTGTTGGTCTTTTTAAAAAATGACTGTCATTCCCGGTTGTGGGCACCTTTATGTTAAGGAGGCTCTACCATCTGACAATGATGTGGACTACTGTCTCATCTATCTAAACTTTCTGCCAAGGAAACTGACAGCCGCAAACTCCATTAAATGCGATGAATATAGTCGTTCAGTGCATTCGAAGTGCGTTATGTTATGCGTACTAGCTACTTCACATGCAAGCATTATGCTTTTGTTAGCAATGAGCATAGTGTGAAAACGTGTCATCATTTTTGTTCTTCATCCCGGCAAAGTCTCTTAAAATAAAGAAACTTTCATTTCTTCTTTATTTGTTTTGGTTTCCTTTAATATTTTTTCATTTTTAGCGGATTTTTCAAGGGTGCTCACAACCGGGTACAAAAATTTTTTTGTCAAAAAATTTCCATTTCACTAAATTTCTAATAAAACTTTTTTATTTAAAGGAATCAATTTAATTTCTTTACTGACAGTCATCTTAGACCTCTAGCTTTAAATTCGTACACATACATTTGTATAATATGCACATGGACAAATGTTATGAGGCAACAACAAAAGGGTGCCCACAACCGGAACACTTCTCTTACTACAAGAACGTATATTACATAATTTTTAAAAAAAGTCATATTGTTGTAAAAATGTTATAAACAATTAGCCTGCATTTATACTGTATGAGGTAGAAGGATCGTTTTTCAGGTAAAAATTTTTTTAAAAAATTTTTTAACGTCAAAAACTCTCCTAATTAAACTAATTTTGTTAAAAAAAATGTTTAACTTCAAAAACGATCCTTATATCTCATACAGTATAAATGCAGGCTTAATTGTTTATAACATTTTTACATCAATATGTCTTTTTTTTAAATTATGTAATATACGTTCTCGTAGTAGTTTTTTGCGTCGAATCGAATGGCGCTATCAGTTTTTTATGAAAATCAATTTTTCTTAATTTGTTTGTAACAAATTGTTTAAAAAAAATTTTTTTTTAATTTTTAACGTCAAAAATTATCATTAGACCCTATGCCAGGATACCAATTGTTGTTTTCTCGATATCTACGTTTCTGTGCCCATGGGCATTAATGGGTTAAAAAAGGAAAATAATGTTTATAAAAAAGTTAAAAATATATTGTTTAACTGTTTATAATAATAATATATACGTATATAATTAATAAATGTATTAGGGGCGAACAGTAAAGGTCATATCATCTTTTAAAATACACTGATATAGGCGCTGCTTAGTTAGCGCAACGCACAAAAACTCGTAGCGCAAACTTCAAAAAATTTTTTCTCAAAAACATCAAATATCACTTCTTTAAAAATTTAACCACTTATTAAGGAAGGTTCAAATTTTGAGACAATAATTTTTCTAGAAAATTCCATGATGTCCTTTGCTTCTTTTAACAATAAAAAATTATTGTTTAAACAAATTATTGAAAAATTAATTTTTCTTAACTTTTCTTTTAATATTATAAAAAATTGACATTTTCTCTACAATTTTAAGTAAATGACTTTTTCTTGTAGAATCAATAGTTTTTGAAATAAAAATTCTCAAAAAAAGTCATTTTTTTCAGTTTCCGATTTTTCAAATCTAAATATCTTGCAAAAAATTTTTTTTTGCAAAACTGTTTGGCACAGTTATTTAGTACCCCAAGTACTACAAAATTACAAACTTTAAGAAAAATCGGTGATCCACCATTTGCTTTTCGTATGGAACTGCCCATAAGAATAAATTCAAAAAATATACTTAAAAGTTGAAATTTACTTTTACGTCCAGATGTGACCCTGATGTGGTTTTTTTTAATATTTATGTCTAAAATTATTTATTATTTTAATAATGGAAAAAAATTTATTTTTAAAATAATAATAACAAATTGTTTGTTTTTGTTTTTAAACATTATTTTAAATAATACAAAAATAATTGTTTAAACTCATATTTAAAAACAAATATTTTTTTGTTATTAAAAAATATAGGTAATAATTTTATATTATTTAAAATAATATTTTTAAATAAAAACAAACAATTTTTTGTTATTAAAATGTATAAATAAGTTTTTAATGCGTGAGAAATGAGTATTAAAAAGATCCACATCAAGGCCTTATCAGGGCCACAAATGGGCCCCACTAACCAGGTTGGCTATACTTTTTTCTACAAGGGTATTTACATTAATTTATGTAATTAAATTAATTAATACTTTTAAAAATTTTATTTTATTTTGATGGTAAAAATAATCCAATTTTAATAAGATATATGTATACTTCATATTTTCAGAAAATTTTTTTTATAAATAATTTAAAATTACAATATTTTGTTATTATTAATACTAATATTATTATTATTATTATTATTATTATTATTATTCCGTGCCCGGTTGGAACTTTTTTTCTACCTGGGGCGCATTTTTGCGCGGGGTTGCTGGTCCTCTATCGGACGCGTGCCAGGTGGCGGATAGGTTAGCTTCCTAGAAATAGGTGGTATCGAGGAAATCAAATACTCGACGCGGACCAAAACCAGCAAACAAGAAACACCCATCATGGGCGATTGTAAAAACGAGGAAGAGTACCTGCGGGGTAATGCTACGGCTAAATCCCTCACTGGTTCCGATCGTCAAGCGCCTAGCGTGAGGACGGTGGCCAGTGGCCCAAGGATGCAGGAGGGCAACAACGCGTTGGGAGTGCCACAGATCATCGTGGACAGGGCGGAGAGACGAGGGAGTACGAGCAGCGTGACGAGTCAAGCCAGCTGCATTTCTGTCTTCAGTAATGCTTCTGCGATTGACATTGCTAGCTGCAATGAGGACCGAGATGAATGCGTGAAGCTGCGGGAGGAAGAGGCAGCGAGCATTCTAGAAATGGAGGAGGAGGTCAGCAAGATGCTGAAGTCCTGTGAAGTCCAGAAGAATGTCAATAGGACAATCAAGGATGGACTCAGAAGCTTAACATCGCTCATAAGGGAGTTAAAGGAGAAGCACGCAGCAGCCACAAAAGACGAGAGGTTCTACCAGGGACTGACTTGGTCGGAGGAAGCACGAAAGGACCGAAGACTGAGACGTGATCGTTTTAATGCAGTAGTGCTTAAAAACGTTGTCTTGGAGGCTCAGAAGCGGAAAAGAAGTGATCCTGAGGTTACGAAGGACCCAAAAAAGAAAAGGCAGGAGGGACCTCCCAAAAGGTCCAAAGGAAAGGAGAACAAACCGGCACCAAAGCCAAATCCAGACAAGAAGGGAAGAGCCACAGTGGCCGTCAAAGTGGCTGAAGGAGCTACCTTCGCTGAAGTGCTGGCGAAGGTTCGAAGGGAGGCTGACCTGGAGGCCAGCCAGACAAGAGTTGTGGGAGCTTTACCCACTAAAAAGGGAGACCTTCTTATAAAAATTGGAGGGTCTTCAAACAAGCAGCTGTTCACCGAGGAGGTGAGAAAGGTAATCGGCGATTTGGGTAAGGTGCAGATTGCGGTCCGGCAAACTACGTTGGAAATCCGCGATATGGACGCTCTTACTGAAAAGGAAGATGTTTTGAATGCCCTGGAGCAAATCTCTACGGTGCCAGCAGGGAGCAGAAAGGTGGCTGTCCTTGGCCCAAACAAGCAAGGAGTAAAGCTCGCTGTCGTTGTCACCAGCCAAGAGGATGCAGATAAGCTGGAGAAAATAGGACACATTAAAATTGGGTTCGTGTCCTGCCA